GGGGGAGAGAAACAGAAAGCCTTCTTTTCCTGTAAATTTCATAATCTGTTGTTGCTATTCCCCTTCTATGTCATACATGAAAGCTCTTTCACCCCCAGCCAGTATTCACAGAAAGGTGATGCTGTCCTCAGCTTCACAGCTGGGTAAAACTCAAGTTTCCTCCTCTGTACATGATGTCAGACTGGGGGCTTACTGGGGCAGCGCATTCACCAGCGAACAGAGATCAAAATAAAGCAGCTTCAGTTCAAGTTGAAACTTACAGTTTCAAGCAGGATAACATGGAGGCAGAAAGTTGAAAAAGTGAGCTCTGCCATGTCCTGTCTCCCCTGAGAAGAGAGATACCTGCCCTGGTCCAGACATCCCACACTGCAGCAATGTCATCACACTCTTACTGTAAACAGGGAGTCAAGTCCACTGGTATCAACAAGCCAGTGATTTTAGGCTTCTGCAACTTCGGGGAATTGCTCTAGATGGAGAGGGGTGAAAATGAGGGTGGAGTCAGGCCCAATACATTTGGCCTGGCTGGGAGCAGAAACGAGGCCTTCAGCATTTTGTTCAGGCTATGTGGTAAGGTCCTTCAGTGCAGCCTATTGCAAATGCATGCCACTCTCCGCAGAAATGAGACTGGGCATGCCTGCCAGCAGCCTTGAGGCGGATGCTCTCTCCCATTTACCAAGGCACTGCATCACCTCCCGGGCTGAACCGCGTTGCCAGTATTTACAGATTCACTGAGATGCGTCAAATCCCCGCCAGCAGGGACACTGACCTGCACAGCCTGTCACTGAGAGATTTGCTGTCTGGGGACAGGCAGCGTGTGTGTCCGTACACACACGGACATACACCCCACACACACGCGTGCGCGCACACAGCCCAAGGGAGGTAAGTCCAGCCCACAACAGCGGGGCCATCCTTCTGCTGCTGGATTTTTCCAGCTGGAGCATCTTGCCGGCTCTGCTGTAATTTATGGAAATTGGTTTCTGACGTAGAGCTTTTTCTGTTACAACAGGGACCCACCGACCGGAGGAGGCAGAGCTGCAGTCAGGACAGAAGAAGAGAGGGCGAGGAAGAGGTGGGGAGCAGAGGGACACTGGGGGAGTGGAGAGGACAGAGGGAGAAAAAGGCACAGAGACACTTCAGAAATGGGTGAGTTGTAACTAAGAGAGCAGGAGGAAAGGCAGAGAAAGGGGGAGAAGGGGAGCCGTGGGGAAGGGAAAAGAAAAGAAGATCAGAGACTGAATCAGCCTCAGGAGAGTAAACACCAGGAAACGAGTTCAGGGAACACGGCACCGTACAGAGAAGGACCTGTTCTGTCTGAATTTTCACCATGAGCACAAGGAAAAGCTGCCCCCTGCCACTGGGGCAAGGAGACGGGGAGGAAAAGCAGAGTGAAGGTACTTCTGACCTGGAGCGAGAGGAGTGCGAGGTGGAGCTGAGGAACAAAGCTATTCTGCAACAGAAGAGGCGTCTTAAACAGGCCACCCAGTTTGTGCACAAGGACTCTGCTGACCTGCTGCCCCTGGATGGCTTGACAAGGCTTGGCACGTCCAAGGATCTGGTGAGTCCAGCGGGATCCCATTTGGGAGCGGGTTCTCCTAATAGCCTTCAGGTCAGTTGAGAATTGCTGTCAGGCTTTGTGGAAGGGTCATGGGTTCAGCAAAGATGAAACTTCCTTTCAGCATCATCCTAGGAGCAGGTCAGGGTGAGGAGAAGGAATACATCACCCTTTTTTTTAATCCATCTTCTCATGCATCCCCATAGGGACCAAACTCCTCACAGAGGCAGACAGACAAGGGCTGGAAGAACTCTCCAGCATCCAACTTTCCACTCACCAAGTATAGATATATATGTTCATCTGACATACATATTTCCATGTGGGACATCTCTGAAAGCTACCTTGTATTCCTGCATGATCCATCTCAAAAGCAGACTCCTCCCTGGATTAAGCAGGGAGGGAAGCACAGTTCATGAAACTCTGAGAGTTATGTTTGACCTTGTCACCTTTTACCATTATTTTCTTTCCCCCTACTCTTTGGATTTCCAGAGGGTCGAGCACAGGGCAGGATGGCTAGCCAGGTGCGCAGGCAGCTGCAGTGGCCAGCACCCATGGCTGACACCCCAGTTGAGGAGGCATGGGAGTAAGGCCTGTGGGCATCTCATTGTAGAGACATGGAGCAAGTGTCATCAGGGAAGGGATCTGTTCCAGGAGCCTGGGCAGTCTGTGGTCTGAAGGGACTTTCCCAAGGCTGGGAGCAATTTTCCATATATCTCTTGCTGGCTTAACTGCACACATCTGCCCCTTGCTCTGGCAGTTTTGCTGTCTAACTTCTCTCCAGTGTGGAGTGTAACTGCTTGAGGATGCAGAGGTCTAAACCATTTTCCCAAAAGAGGTCCTGGGTCTGGCCAGTGATGGGGGCACAACCACTTATTCCAGCTGTGCCACGGAGTGTCATAAAAGATCTTGCCCCTCCCTGCAGCCTGTGCTTCCCTCTGTATCCTCAGACCATCACAGCAATGCCGCAGATGCTCTTGAGTGTGTTATCTCCTCTGGTTGTTTCCCAGCTGCTGTGGCAGGCCCCACAACTGCTGGCAGCGAGGTGCTGGGGCACACAGGGACACGTGTGCAGGACCGGCAGGGTCGCAGACGCTGGGCCTGGGTGGAAGCTATCCTCCTTGCTAAAACCTTTGGGTGCAGCAGCTCTGCCATGCGCAGATGAGGGGTCAGTGCCATGTTCCTGTGCTGGTGCATCCTCCTGCTCCCACCACCCTCCCTGCAGCTGCTGAGAGTCTCTGGCTCAGCAGGGTCAAGGGTGGCTCCTTCAAAGTCACCCTGAGCTGTTGCCTCATGCTCTGCCTGTCCTTTGCAGCTGCACATATGGCTGTCAGCAGGGACTGGTCTTGAGCATCCCTCTGGCTCTGAACACGGTTGCTGTCTGAAGTACAAGAGGGGAGTCACGTAGGCGTCATGTTAGCAAGGAACAGGGCCTCTTCTCCCCGCAGGGAAGGAGGTCTGGCCACACCAAAGCCTGGGGGCTGGCAGCACAGGCAGGCTAGCATTGGCCCTTCGTGCCCTGCAACACTGCGGCTGAAACATCTCCTCAGGAGGGGATATAGCCAGACATACCCCTGGCAGAGAACAGGGAGGAGCCACTTTTGAGTCTTTCAGTGCATGTTTTCTGAGCCCATCCACAAAGGCAGAGAGAAACATGTCTACCCGCTTTCCTTTGGAATCGATTCCTTTCCTGTGACACTGAGCCCCAAAATGACAAGTGTGGTGCCAGCCAGAGGCCTCTGTGAGAGTCCTGCACACTATGGGTGGCAGTCTTGGCCCTCAGAAGCCCCAGATGTGCTCTAGCAAGACAGGCCTTGTCCAAATCGCTTGCCACAAGCAGCTCTCCTGGTAAAATTAACCATTCTAGGCCGAACACTTCCCTCACACGCAAATGGTGTTTGGTCACTGAAAACTGCTAAGTAGTTTGCGTTTGGTCTGTAACAGAATGGCTGAAACATTTCTATCGTGGAGCTAGGGAGCAGTGAATAAAGCATAACATCTTTTCTGCCATGGAAATTTTGTGTTAGAAGGCACAAAATAAAGTGTGGCACCTGTGCAAAGTTCGCAGGCACAGTGCTATACCTGGGGTCAGTGTGGTAGCTGCAGGACCTCCGTTTCTGCTTTACCTTGGAGAAATAGAAGAACCAGGCCTTAGATTTCCAAGAGCAATTCAGCAGTCCCTGCAACTTGACAGGCTACTGTGATATCGCTGTGATGTTTAGAGGGCTGCAAATCAGAGTCCAAAATATGCTTTCAGGCACTCCTCCAGCCCCATGTCAAACTCCATCTATGTTTCCTAAATTGACCTGGCTCCCTCCTGGAGGACAGGAATGCAGGGCTGAAAACAAACAACATCAGGAATTGCTGGAGAGGTTCATCTTGGAGAGAGTGCAAAATATCCCAGAGTCCTATAGCACCGACGCTGAGAGGAAAGTTTAATTCCCCAGAACGTGTCTCCACTGACAGTGCCAGGGACTTCAGCTGTGACAGCCCCGCATGTCCTAAAATTAGAGCAAGGCCTCATGGCATTTAAATAAACTACAGGTTTTCTTATACACTCAAAGTCAGGCTTTTTGACACTGCAATGCATCCAGCAGCATATGGGATCTGATGGGCCCATCACATCTCCAACAATGAGAAATTATATTTTTCAGTGGAGACTCACATTTCCAGCTTTATAACAACTACAAGCACGACACTCCTTTTTTTTTTTTTTTTTTTTTAAATGGCAAAACCCTCGAAAAAGTAGCTGCATGAGCTAAAACATTCTGAAAGGACCAGGAAGATCCAAAGATCTGACTTCTCCACTCCCAAAAACCAAGATTCCCAGCTCATACCACTTCACTAATCATAGCAACGCCTTGAGATTTCACATCGGAGAGCCTGAACACTATGGAACTGGGAATCTGCTCTGACCCATCTAAGAGGGCTGGAAGGGTCTCCCTCCCAGCTGCTGGCCACAACTCCCTTCAGGTCCTCCCTCACCATCCTCTTCATCTCATTGCTTCTTATCAGCCCAAGGGGTCTGCTCTTGAATCAGATGCCTCCACAGTCCCAGAGCTCAGCTACTTGTGAGTAATTATCAGCGCTTGGCCTCTTCCCAGCCTGAGTGACAGGAAGGGGACAGAGGTGGCAGCTGCAAAGGGCCTGCTCTTTCTGTGGGAAAAGTTGCAGGGAGAGGGAAAGGTCCTTTGCATGCCAGATCGTGAGAGGAGACAGGAGGGAGGGTGGGAATTTGGAGACCTGCTGTCCATTCCCTGCCCTTTTCCCATGGCCCAGATGTTAGCTGGCAGCCAAACGGGCACTGTGCTCAGAGTATTTAGGGAGTGAAGTACAACAGCCAGCTGTGCTGTGTGCCTGCACAGCAGCCTGGGAAAAGACCAGGAGCAGAGGGATATTTTTACCTCACCTTTTCAACTACTGCAGTGTGTCTCATGCAGCATGTGAATGATCTGACTCTCGCCACTCGAGTGACAGGGAAACAGAGGCATGGGGGACCTGGTACCTTGCAAAGAGCAATACTGAGTGCCACAGAGGAGCCAACCATTAGGCAGAACTAACAAGTCAGTGTGCTTCGAGTTGCAATCTACACATCCCGGCCTCAGCCCTCTGACCAAGCACAAAGCTAGTCTGAAGCACACACACTGGTCTAATTCAGATGTTTGGCCTGCACATTGATAAGATCCTACATCAAACTGCTGCGCCATCTGGAAGTAGATTTTTTTTTTGTTTTGACAAAGACAAAAGCAACGGTTTATGCTGTAGCACATTAGCCCCTTTAGATTCATTGCTTTTCTGCACATAGGCAGTCGTTACTGAGAATGCTATTGTCAGCTCTGAACAGCTGCTGTCCTGGAGAAGGGCCATAAGGCTGAGTACATGGAGAAAGGACAAAGCTACCTCCAACAGGCCCACTCCATTGATGCCGCCCATTGTTGATTCAGTAGCTGTGCAGGGATTGGAGGCACTGGATCAACACTGGGCAAAAACCAGAGCATCAAGCTGATGATGAAGGGAGCTTTCTTTCCAAAGCAACAATTTCCTCTGTGTGTATGCAATGTTGGGACCAGAATTTTTTCACAATTTTTCTTTCCTTTTGGTGCATTTCCCTTTCTTCTGCCTGGAAGAAAGGAGATAGGAATGAAATAGGAGTACAAGATACATGAGATATGAATAAGATGATAGGAATAAAGGTCCTTCAGCTGTTGATCTGGCTGATGGCACTCCCTTCTAGCTGTGAACAACAGAGGGCTTCATAGATGCTCCCCCAACTAGGAAGGGAGTCAAAATAGTATCACTTCCGATGGAGGGAAGCAGAGACAGACTTCCTGTGCATGGGAAGCTACTTGCTTCACTATAAATAATTGCTTGTACACCTAAACTTTGTGGAGTCCTGTGTTCTTACCCACATGTACATCACACACATGCTGCGTCCCCATCCTCTCCCACATTAGAAGGTGGCTGTGCCTGGCTGGAGGTCAGCACACACCCACCAGGTAGTGTACTGCAGTACCTGAACAGGTATGAGGCTGCCAAGAGCATGTTTAGCTGAAGGAACAGATATATGTGGGGAGAGCATGCATCAGGCATGTTCTTCTCCTCCAATAACTGTATCCTAGAGATCTGCCTGTCACAGATATCCCAACATTTTAATGTCACCATAGTGGCTACAGGAAAAATCTTGGTATTTAAAGGACGCATTTTCTGCAATAAGCCTGTCTTTCATCAGGATTATCAGATGGGTTATGTATTTACAACCTGCTTTCCTGGGCTAGCACATGTCCTTGTCCTCAGCTCCATACTTAGCTGAGATTTCTCTCTCTTTGTGATGGAGACAGCAGCCACATAGTGTGGTCCAGCGGCGCCTCTTGGAAGGCAATCTGAACAAGCTGCGGGGCGAGACCAGGGTTCAGCCTGCACGGGTTCAATCTCCGCTGGCAAAAGACCAGGATGAAAAGATGGGAAAGGAAAAGGACAGGAGGAAAGAGACTTCATCCCTGTTAATACAGTGCAAGGTAAGGCAACAACATGGTGCTGCTGATTTCACAGTGATGGCAAATGCTCAGTGAGTTCCAGCTACCCCACCCCCAAGGGCTGTGATAAGATATTAACTGCAAAGTCAGCTGTGGCTGGAGAGAGCAGATTTCCTACGTGGCCTCTCCTAGAGTTTGGATTCAGTTCTTCCAACAGACAGGGGAAAGCCTTTCTGTCACATGCATTCTAGTTGTCCGTATTTGAAGATAAATTACCTTAATCACATCTCCTTTCTTTGGAGGCCAGCTTTCCCATGATATAGATGTTTCATAACTGCATACAGAAACAAGGAGTGTCTCCTTATCACTTTAAGAGAGGTGCCCCTAGTTGATTTACATTTACTGGATCCAGTCTGGTCTGATTCTCTCAGGTGTCAAAGGACCTCCTAAGAAAGTGGCTAACTGTGCTCTGAATTAGCGCTGTTGCATTTCTTGATGGAAGCAGTATTTTTAGCTCCCTTTTCTCCTTTTATCCTCCTATACAGCAGAACACACTCCTCCCTGGCTCCTGTAGGTAAGAAAGCACATCCAAAAGCTCTGCCCCATAAAAGAAGGTTGCATGGTTAGAACTGTTCAGTAATATGCAGATATGTGACTCACCAAAGTATAGACTTGGTATACAAAATCCATTTTAAGCTGTTTTTATTTCAGTTACCTGTCCTAAAGAACATCTCACATGTTAAAGTCTACACTTCCAGGAAAAACACGTATACCTTTGAAAATTCAGTTGGCAAGTTTCTGAAATGTTTGGATCCAGTGTCTCAGTACCAGGTCTGGTTTGTTTCCCAGCCTTTACTGTTGCAGTTCGGCATTGCTTACCCTGGATTTTAGACTGATGTAACTAGGTTAACATAACCATACTTGGGAAAACAGACTAATAGGATGAATGGCTCTCAGTGTAATTTCTCCAAATAGCTGGAGTCTTTTTTTTTTTTTTTTTAGCAAATGAAGGTGTTTCTTCTTCTTTAGTCATCAGTCTGTATTGTTCTGTAGGAGGAAACTCGCTGATAAAGGGTGGGGTTTTGCCAGGCATGTACATCAAACAAGGACTGGCATGCATAGGTATCATATCCCATGGGCAGTAAGTAACTCAGTGTCAGAGTCCACAAAATGTTCCCCTTTTGTGTTTGGAATGGACTGTACCTGAGCTCTCACACACATTATATTTTCCTTCATGGAGGAAAGTTAATGAACATCACAGTCAAGGAAATAGGTCTAACTCTCTCTGAGCTCAGTACCTTCTGCACAGGCATTTTTCTCTTTTTCTGCCCTTCTTAAGAGACAGTCACTATTTGCCACACTTAATCTTCCTACATCAAAAGGAAGGGAAGCTCTCCTCCCGTTCTTTTTAGTCTTGCTGCTTTTCATGTTCACATTTGTGAACTTCAAAGAGCCTCACCTGTAAGTAACAGATCTATGGCAGGAAATAGCACTCAGGATCCTGTTCATTTTAACCAGAGAGGTGAGCTGGTACCTTTTGGAGAACTGCTTGACTATGGTGCAGTTTTTATTAGAAATAGAACAAAACCCCAGTGAAGTCTCTTCTCTCTTGAGGAGAGATGAGAAAATATCATCTACCAGCATGAAGTTTCCATTTAAACTCAGGGAGGGATGCTGTAGATTTCTAAGTGGTAAAAAATGCGTCTCCTGACTAGGAGCTGAACTTGGCTAGGAAATAAAGCTGAATATATGTAGGCATCAGTGATACAGGGAGATTCAGGCAATAAGTGTTTTCACTCTAACAGGTTATAATTACCCTGAACCTAAGGCTTTTATAAGTTTCAGAGATCACAGACAGACCTAGTCTATAATAGTCATACTGCAGAGTCACTCACCTTCCTATTTACTTAGGTGGGTTGCTCACATGGCACTTTAGCAGAACTGCCCCTTTTTGCACAGTTTTTGCAAGACACTTTGGAAAGTTTGTCATGACTGGCATCTGCACCATAAAATCAAGCTGTTATTTTTTTGTGGTGGGGCTCGCCTCTCATTGACTTGGAAACAGATGCTGAAAGATTCCACTGCTGTCCAAGGCTGCTTTTCCTCTGTGCCAAAGGAACCTGAGATTAATCAACCTTGGTTGATTAAAGCAGCTTCTTGACTTTGGAACTGAGTTTATTTCAGAAAACAAAGCTCTTTATAAATGGTAATCCTTACTGATTCCACTCCCCTCTTTCTTGGAAATCCCCGTAATTGACTGTTAGATGATGACTAACGGTGACTAGTAGTAACAGACTGAAAATTTTAGGGGTGAGTTGAGAGTGGGTAATGTGATAAAAAGTTCTCTTAGTCCAAGAAGGCTTGGAGTGCTCATCAGCTGCCTGTGTACTCCTTATCTAATCTGCATTGTACTTGTGGTACAGTGACTCTCCTCAGGCTCCTGGGGAGTTCTCTGGGCACATAGTGTCAGTGTCTTCTGTTTCTGAAGAGCTGATACAATGCCTTTTCTGTAGCTGGGCAGTGAACAGATGACTCCTGTGCTCGTTGGTTAACTCTTTCCATGTCTGTTAACGAGGAAGAGCTGATTCAGCCGGACACTGTTGGCAGGTCGCAGTATGGGGAAATGTGGCAGCATACCTGACCTGATGCTTATGGCTAATATACCCGCTTAGGTAGTGAGGAGACACAGAGACACTTCTGTGAAGTACAGTACAGAAGATGAGGAGGAAGATAGTTAGCATGTATCTGCACTTTGTGATTTATTTGTCTCTCTGCTTGGTCTGGCCACAATCCTTCTAGGCAAGACTGATGTGTCAGTGAGGACCAGACAGCACAGACATTATAGAGCTCTAAAAGCAAAAGCGGAGGCATTTTGTCATAGAATCACAGAATGGTTTGGATTGGAAGGGACCTTAAAGATCATCTAGTTCCAACCCCCCTGCCGTGGGCAGGGATATAGGACTGTCCTCTGGGTCCAGTCGATTTCTAGGTTGTTTCCTCTAGAAGCCTGGACTTTGTAACACCAGCTTTGCCACAAACTGTTGTTATGAGGTAAGATGAGATCTCTCCAGTTGGCCTTGGGGACCTCTATGGGCAGGGACTAATCCTAGTCCTGAATGTTTAAACTTGACATGCCAGGCAGCCTAGAGCCATGGTGGCAATACTTTTTCTTGAACAAGCACAAGTATTGCCAAAATCAGGAGCTTCTAAATAGAGTGCTTTGCAGCTCTCCCCATTCTGTGAGGCACTGGCATGCTCCCCCACTTGCTTAAAGCAGATTTGTGCCAAGAGGCAGGAAGGCAAGAGAATGGGTGTGTGTTCTGGGAGCAGACAGCAACACAGCTGGGTCTCCTACCCGCTCTGTCATGTGTGATCTGTATTACCATGGGACCAAGCTGCTCCACAGTGAAACAGGACTGCTCATTTGTGAAGGAGCTGGGGGAATATTCCTGTATGAATGTGAAAAGAACTGCAGAAGGGCTTCTGGGGGCTGGTTTCTCTGTGGTCTGACTCTGTTTCCTGAATCTTCCAGCTGGTATCACGTCAGTTAAAGTTTGTGTTCTTCCAACTTGTGACTTTGTAGTTCTGTGGCAATTTCACAGAATCACAGAATCATTCAGATTGAAAAGACCCTTGGGACCATCGAGTCCAACCATCAGCTCTACTCTACAAAGTTCTCCCCTACACCACATCCCCCAACATCTCATCCAAACGACCCTTAAACACACCCAGGGATGGGGACTCCACCCCCTCCCTGGGCAGCCTATTCCACTCCCTGACCACTCTTTCTGTGAAAATTTTTTTCCTCATGTCCAGTCTGAACCTCCTGTGTTGCAGTTTAGATTTCCATACTGTGTGCTAAAGAGCAGCCTTGGATTGAATGTAGATGTCAGTGTGGTTGAGACTGTGAGAAGCACATGATATAATGGGGAAGGCATAGTGCTGGCAGCCAGAAGTTTGAGAGATCTGTCTTGGCTTTGGCCTTCCTAAAGTATTTAACATTATATACCTCACTTGGGTGTTCTAGGAAGTCACAAGTGTTTGCAGTCACACAGGATTATTAATTAGCTGGACATAATTCTTTATGAATAAGATATGCTTTTTTACATTAAAGAATAAAAAGAATAATAACCAAATCAGGATCTGTTGAAAATATGCATCTGTGCATATTTTCTGTGTAGATACTGCTTGAACACTGCTCTCCTTGTTCCTGGATGAAGCCTCACGTGGTGAATACTCTTCCATCTAAAACCACTTATGTAGGTATGAGTCTTACATGATTCTTGATGAACTCTCTAAAACAATATAGGTTGATATCTCTAGCTCTAGTGGCCTTGCAGTTCTTGAGAATTTCCCAGTTAAGTGGCCATTCTAGGAACATGGTGTATCTAAATGTTCAGAATGATTAAATTCTCTACACTGAGGTACTGCAGATGCAATTTAGCCCAGAGGAAGAGCTCCAAGACAAAACAGACTTCAATTTTCCAGCATGCACTGAGGTTGCCTTGAGTGCAATAAGCACTCGAGCTACTATTAGTGTTGTGTCTCTTTGCACCATTCCAGCATTTCTCACAGGAGGTGTTTTTTCCTTTCTTTTTATAATAACTCACAAATAGCACCGTTTTGAAAATGAACTCTTGAAAATACTCGAGGTAGCTCTCTGTGATGATTAACCTATGTAATAATCATAAACAGATTTAGTTAAGAAATCAGGAAATTGAGACCTTTTCCTTGACCCTACTGATTCTGCACCGAGTCCCTGATGGCCATGCTGACCTAGTTCAGGTGTTCAGAGCATTTAGGAATGAGCATAAGGGTAGAGGAGCTGTGGGAGATCTGTTGCCTCTTCTGAGTGACTCATGGCACTGAGTGCCATAGTAGCTTGAAGAGAAGGAATCACAGGATAAATACAAATGATAGCAGGAGGAAAATGAGCCTCCCAAAAGGGAAACTTTGTGGATGGGGTTTTTTTGGGTGTTGCTGCGAGACATAGTCTTGAAGAACTAGGCCATCAAGGACGGGAATGGTTAGACACTATAGGTAGATGCAAGCCATGTTTTATAGATGGCAGTTACTCCATCTTTTCCAGCTCCTTTACTAAGTCCTGCTCCTCCTTTTTTTTTTTCTGAACATAACTCTTAATGATTCCCTTGATGATGCTATTTTTTCAGACCTCTACCATATATGAGACCTGTTGTTTTCAGCACCTCTGGCCTGCCATTAAGGACCTCTGTGCAGAGGGGACACAAAACAGATAGCAACCACACCTCATGTTCCCTTTCAAGTGCAAAGGAGTGAAGAAATGAAGTGGACAAGGCACTGGGGATTATTCCAGTAAGATCATGCAGAGGTGACTTGGGTGCAGGGCATCCAGTCTCTCCCTTTGCTAGATGACACCAGCTGTGAATATTGTAGTTGTAGTGTTCATGCTGTATTTCCTCAAAGAGCTGTCTAGGAACTTAATGTAAGTCACTCACAAAATAGACACCTCTTTATTAGGTTGTTTCTTGGATTCAGGTGTCACTTGGAAGTGTCAGTTATCTTGGGAACTGCCTTAAATTCAAGCTCTTCTCAGGGATGATGCTTGTCCTGTGTGCTCCTGCTTCTCCCACAGACTTCTCCCTCTGGAAACTGTTCAACTGAGAACAGACATCTAGCCCTGGAACATTGTTCCTTGTGACACCAGAAGAAATGCAGAGAGGAAACCTACAAAGGCTGTAGTACACACTTGTATTCCTTTAGAAGCATTTGTCATATAAATTATTGCTCTGCTAAGAAAGTCCATGTGTTTTTTTCTGAGCAAATTCACTAGTTATTCATCTCTGGACTGGAACATGGCTAAATTAAAGTAGCTAATGACAGATAAGTGTCTGGGCAATCAAATACAAATTAAAGAAGACAAAAAAGAAGCATTGTGGCAGAGGTTTGCAGAGCACTTGGGAGACCACCACTGTGTTGGATGAGTCTCCTGCCTTCTGACTACTGCCTAAACCACCACATCTTTGGCTATGTTGTTAAGGAAGGTCTAAGGGATTGTCACACTGTTGGAGGAGTGGGTATGCCAATTCTGAGCCCACAGTAATTATCTGTTGTTGTTTTTTCTAGTGCCAAGGTCAGGTATTGAAAGCGACTGTTAACACTGGGTGTCTGCCAAATCTCGTCTCCAAGAGCTGTTTAAACCAGCTGGGGTAAGTCTGGGGTAACAGTAGAAAAGGAGGGTTGGCTAAAAGAAAACCTATGGCAAGAACCTAGGCACTCTCAATTCCCAGCCCCAGTGATAATTACTAGCAGCTTTGCATGTGCCATGGCTGTTGAGGAGAAGATGCAGAGGGTGGGCTACAGGGCAAGGCATCAGGAGCCCTGGTAAAGTTGTGTGCAGACCCCAGACTAGGAGGCAGAGCTGTGTCATTCTGTCTGTGTGTACTGTAGGGCAAAGCTGCCCAGCTGATGTTTAGCCTCAGTGGTGAGGAGCCCACATGGATAACACCTTATGGTTTTGCTTGTGGAATCTGCCTCCAGACATGCTGTATGGAGAAGATTCCTCCTCTTGTGGGCCTGTTGCCAATGAGACCAAGAAGTACTGCCATCAGTGAGAAGTCCTGTTTTTCCTCCTCTTCCCCCACTTGAGGCAATAACACCTCTTGTGTCCCACAGGCTGGAAGAAGTATCTGCCATGGACTGTGGAGATTTCCCTCTTCCCATGCCCAGCGTTGTTGGCCGAGTAGAACATATGGAGTTGCAATTTGGCCAGGAGACAGTGCTGTGTTCAGCACTGGTTGTAGGTGAGAGTGCCAGCCCCTCCTCTCCCCCAGTTTTCCTGTGTCCCTCTTGCCCTGCCAAGGGCATTTAAAAGGATCTCTGGGAAAGTGTAACGCAGTGGGAGGTTGGTGATGTGGTCGCCTCCACTGCTGGCCAAGACCATTATGTGCTGTGAATATCCTCAGTAACCAAAGGCAAAGGGCGTAGGAAGAGAAGAGAGAAGACATTGAAAGTGGGGAGAAATGAGGTGCTTTTTGGTTTTAACCTAGGATGTAGAAAATTCTCATTTCCTTCTAAAATGGACCTTTCTTAAAATTATCCAGGCTGCTTGATTAGTCCTCTGGTGCCTTATGTTCTCCTATTGAATGAGCACTTGTGTCTTTGCCTGGATGGAAGTCATCAGAGACACGGGCAGAGGGTGCAGCTTATTCCCCAGAGTGTTTCTCTGTGTACTCATCTGCCTTGCCGGAGGGAGCACCCTGGAAGAACCTGGTAGCCTCAGAGTGCTGGGTCTCCCTCTCTGTCCTGAGGCAGGACCCTTTGAAGGAAGGAGCTGTAGGAGACACGGTCAAGTCAGCAGTCACTGGAGCACACCCAGAAAACAACAGAAAGGCTGCATGTTCTGCATTTACATCAAGCTGTGCACATGCTGAAAACAACATAGTTGTCTTTTTTTTCCCCCCTGTTCTTTCCCCCTATTAGTCTTCCAGCTTTACCCTCTTGCCTTTATCTGTCTCCTCATCTTTGATGAGTACTGTTCATCTTCCAAGACCTCCTGTGCTCCCTCTTTTCATGTCCATTCTTTCCACTCTTCCACACTCCAGATCACTTTTCTTCCCTGGTTTCCCCTCTACTTGTTCTTGCCCTTCATGGGGACTCTGTATTAGTACCAGTACAGGTGAATTTAACCCAGTAGCACCTATCCATTTTGCTGGGATGTGGAAATGGCTGCCTGGAAGGAGCAGGATTGCTACATCTGTGCCTCACATCTCCCTGTGCACACAGTTCTCTTGCTTATGTGCTTATAAATAAATTATAAGATACAGCCACTGGTTACAGGGCAAGCAGGCATCCAGGAGACATGGGAAGTGTTAATGATGTTACTGCTGGCTGCTGAATCCTGCAGACTCCAGGACCTGGGGATTCTTCCTTCCCTGCCACTGCAGTACAGATGGATGACTCTAAGACCCCAGGGGTCGCTCTCACCCAGTCCAATGCATGCTCTTAGTGTCAGGTTTAGACAGTAGCAAGGCTGAACATATATTCCAGAGAGACCCATACAGAGTGGATGCAGACAAGGCCAGCCACAGAGATTACCACACATAGAACAGTGCCTTTACCAACATTCACATAAACACCAGCACAAATAGCCCAGTCCCTGTCCTCCTCTCCGGCTGACCAGGGTTGAAGTTCACTAGCAGAAGCTCATACATCCTCAGTCTCTGGATTCACAAGTGCACTCACATTCACAAAGTCTTCAAATAACAGCACTGCTTCTAGGTCTGTCTTATATTCATGTCTGGACCCTGGGCCCCTTACCTAGCCACTGACCCAGACACTGAGTCTTTCCCGATGCAGATACCTTCTTACTTACTGGCTAGACCAGACTGAATTTTTCTAGCTGATTATGTATACAAAACCACAAGCATACAAACCCATGAGATTAAATTCACTAGGGAAATAAAACCACACCCAGGTCTTTCTAGTTAGTGGCATTTAGACCTCTGACACATATGCCCTGTCCTCTTTAGTTGCTGGCTTATAAGCCTAAGGCCTCTGTGACCCTGGTCAGAGCTGGCACCCAGAGCTCTCTGGCATGCTGATCTCTCCAGTTGCTGGCACCTAGACCTACAAGCTCTGTGACCCATACTGCTTCTCCAGTTACTGCAACTTAGACCTTGCAGCACACACTGCAGTTCAGTTGCTGGCACCCAGGTGTCTAAGCCCTATGACCTGTTCTCCCATCCCCAGTTACTGGCACCCAGACTTCTCTTGCACACTGGTCTCTCTAGCTGCTGGCACCTGTGAGCTACATCCCCTCCTCCAGCTGCTGATACAGATCTATGAGCCCTAGGGCCTGTGGTCCCCTCAGTTATTGGCATCTCTCTTGCATGCCAGTCCCTCCAGCTGCTGACATCTAGAGCTATTTGGCCTTTAACCCGTGACATCTACACTTGCCGACACTGAAGACTTGCAGCAGTCACATGTAGGGTAGAGAGGTTACACAGAAAAAAATTACTTAATAGAATATTTAGTAAGAAGATCAGATAGATTGCAGCCATCAGGCACAGGGTCTGGTCAGACAAGTGAACTGACTAACAGCCTGCTTGCCTGTGACTGGCCCCCTTAACCCCTCTCCTCTCCATTTATCCATGCTTGTTCTTCCCTGATCCACCCTGCTGCTTGCCTTCTCCTGCCTTTGGCCCTTCCCCTACATAGCCAATAGTAAGTTTTACACAAGCCCCTTCTGATATCTGATAGCAAGTTCCAGTCCCACAATCCTCCTCAAATATCTCATAATACTCATGATAATCATGGTTCCCTCATCTTACCAGCTACAAAGTTTATTTGGACCCTCTTCAGGGCTGTGCCTAAGTAGCTCCTTTAATGGATCATCAGTCAGTGGCAGAAGAGTGCTGGTCTTTGTTATTATCACCGTTACCACCTGCTTGTTAATGTTTGTGTGTCTAATTCATCCCTTTCCTTTGTTTTTTTGTTATTCACTTTATACTGAATAACCATCTAACTTTATGACCCAGATGCTCTCATATTCCATATCCTCTTACAGGAGAGACACGCTTTCTTTAGAGGGACAGTATGTATAGTCTTAAGCCTGATTAGTCTCTTCTCTCTTTTCAGATGATGAAATGCTGGAGTTTTGCATTGGTCTTCAGACACTGCTGTCTCTCAAGGTAAGGAATGGGTTCTTGCTTATTGCAGGGCTCCTCTCAAGAAGTTCTCCAAGATTTTTGCTTGCTGTAAGCATCAGAAATACTTACATCCAGGTCTTCCAGGGTGCCACTGGCTGGCTGCAGTATGCTCTGTGTCACAGATTCCTTTGCAGTCCTTCTTATAATAGTTTTTAAGAAAGGAATCACCCAATGGGATACTATCACATCTCCCGTTCTTTGTATGCCTGACTACACAATTTGCAAACAGGAAGAGGAGATAAAGCGAGGCACACTGTGTCACAAGTTATATCTGTGTTGCCCTTTGAAGGCAGATATGAGCAAGCTCTGCCCTTGCTTTGAGCCACATGAAGCTGTATGATCACACTCCGTGTCCAACACCAGCTGGACACAAGTAGAAGCAGTCGTCTCCTTTTGTCAGCTCAGCGCAGGGTTAGTGTTCTGCTGAGCCTGGCTCGTGGGTGGCTCAGAATATGGCTGCAGCAAGCTTGCTTTCTGCCTGTCAAATATATGTAGCTGTATGTTGGGCTCATAAAGCAGGAAAAACACTGGGCTGAATGGCTGAGTGGTGTGAGGAGATCACCTCAGGGGCAGTCATGGGAAGAAGGGAGGGGAATGGCCCGGTGAAGGGTTTGGGGAGGGATCCACTGAAGAGAACAGGAGCAAAGAATCATCATGACAAACAGGGAGGGGAACAGTAAGGTCTTTACAAATCCAGAGTGGGGTTGTCTGATGTTTATACAGGTTTTCCTCATAGACATTGTGAGAGTTGCTATCTGGAATGTTCAGCAAGTAACTGGCTTTCCCCTTCTTTAGTGTTGCATCGACCTGGAGGAAGGAGTCCTGAGATTTAAAGCACTGAGTCAAGAGCTGCCTTTTTTACATGCCTCTGAAGAGCCTGGACAGTGAGTGGCTGCATTCCCCAGGTCTGGGGCTGAGGAGACTTGCTGCTATGAGAGAAAGATGAGGGTGAGGCTCACATGCCCCTAACCTTGCTGAGTTCTAGGCTGAGGCATTCACTGGGGAGTGAGAAAAAGGCAAATGGGTGCTGGAAGCTGTTATTGCTGGGAGTGCCTCACCTTGAGAGATATCCCTCCTTTCAGTGGACCCTCTTGCTTGTCCCCGTGTGCCGAGCAGGCATTTTGTTCTTGTTTTTCTATTGGTCCCTAGACATTCCAATTTCTGCTTCTGTACTAAATTCACCCTACCCTTTTAATGACATTTTAACAATAGCCTCTGTTCATGAGACAAGAGGGCCTCCACGAACAATCTCCAGTTGTTCTGTGGACAGGAGGACAGCACTTTCCCCCAAAGCCTCCAATGATTGCCATGAATATTTCCCTTCTCTTTGCCTCGATGCGAGCGGACTTCACTCCGCTTTCTTTGTGGGAAGGGCTCTGTGGCCAGTCCCCTCACCTGTACTCTGGAAATCTGAGTATTGTTACTTTTTACTGGCTCAGAGCAGAACAGTAGTATTTTCTTGGAAAACACATGCAGCAACACTTTTAGAGTTCTTAATTCTAAGAAGCGTTTGCAGAAATGCTGAGCATAGATGCCTGCAGTACAGTGGATGCTCACAGGGGCTTGGGCTTTGCAACTGCATCTTTGGCCACTAAGCTCTATTATATGAATGGCAATGCTTATCATCTCTTGGTGTTATACACAGACTTGCACACTCTGACCAGGCCTCTCCTCTCTGCACTCCAGCTGCTAGAGCTACAATTCCTATCACTTCTGCTGTATCATCAGAGATCCTGCCACTCAGTTTAAATGCTGCAATGAATTACAGTACCCAGAGTCTTCTGCTCTGTCAGCTCCTTTCTTTCAACTTGAAATCTAGTGATTGGACACAGATACATCATCAGCCTCAAGTCCCAGCATCCCACAGCCTTTGCTACTCCTGCATGAAACAAGAGTTAAACTTCCTTGCAGTATCAGCTCAGGTCAGAGAACTGTGAACTCATCTGGGATGACCAGGGTGATTATTAAGCCACTTAGTTGTTGGGGTTTTGTTTTTTGTGTTTTGGGTTTTTTGGTTGTTTTTTATTTATTTATTTATTTATTTATTTGCATCCTAGTGCGTAGCTGTATGATAAATACATAGTCTATTCTTTACTAGCCCTAGGAAAGATACACCAGATCAGGGCTTGTTCCACGTTTCATGACTACTGATTCGCTATCCAAACTCTGCACAACGTCCCTTTGTCCACCCTTAGAATGCCATGACACCCCCATTTTGCCTGTCTTCCTGGATTAAACACTGCTGGCTCCCTTCATTGTCAAACCACTCATTGTTTCTGTTGTGCTTCTTAAATAACTTGTGTATGCTTTTTTGCTTTTTTTCTGTTAGTTCTTTTCTAAATCAGATGCTGTATGCTGTAGTTCAACACATGCTAAGGACAGCAGAGTACAGCCTGGCTGATATGATTTGGGATGCACTTACAGTGTCAGTAGCTGTGATTTGCATCTGCTCCTCCTACAGGCAGCACCAGGCTAGTGAATTTTATTGTTAGTCATCTTTCTCTTGCAGCTTCTGATCTGTTCCTTGTCTTCTTAGCCATTCTTCTGCTTGTGCAGCTAATTATTTCTGGCTGAATGAACTGGTTTCCATGAATCCCCTGAATGACACCAACAGTTCTCTCATTTATATCAGGACCCATCTCTACCCGATGAGCCTGCCTTTCAAAGTACCAGTAATTCCTCCTGCATTTGTATCACTTATGTGTCTGACTGGCTTCTCAAACCCAGGGGTCTTTAATGACAGTTTAGACTTGTACTCAACCATCCTGTGTGTCAGATGGAACCTATGTGGTACCTGGGTCAACTCTGCTGAAAAAAACCCTTGTTTGTGATAGATGAAACACCTGTTCCTATATTCAGCAACTCACCTGGTTTCCAAATCTCATTGCCCTCTACAAATGGCATATGGAACTATGGCAAATAATCTGCTAAAGCTGACAGATAAAATGTCCGTTACATCTCTTACTATTCATTAGCTTTTAAAAAGTCTATTTTAAAAAAACCCAAAAGACAAAACCTAAACCCTAATCCTAAACATTAAAGCTAATTCTAGCCCTAACCCAACCCCTAGACCCTAAATCTAACTGCTGAAGCTAACCCTAACTCCCTAAACCTAACACTAACCCTATTACTAACCTTAAGTAACCCTGACCCTAAACCAAACCTCTAACTGTACTATTAATCCTAACCCCTAAACCATAAACCTAACCCCAACTCTAAACCCCAACACGGACCCTAACTCTAAAGCTGAAACCCTAACCGTAACCCTTAAACATAACCCTTAATCCTAACCTTAAACATAATTGCCTGACCCTAGATCTAACCCCAAAACCCTAATCCTAAACCAATCCCCTAATCATAGATTTATGTCAGACTTTTAAACCTAACTGAAACCCTATTCCTAACCTTATCCCCTAACCCTATCCCTCACACCTAACACTAACCTTTAATGTAACTCTTAACCCCATCTAGACTAAACCTAACCCTAATCCCTAACACAAACCTAACACTAAACCTTAATGTTAACCCTAATGCCTAACCCTGAACATAACCACTAATCATAACCCCTGGCACCTAACCCTAATGCATTTATTCTAACCCCTTAAACCAAATTCCAAAACCTAAAGCTAATCCTAAATGTAATGTTAACTCTAACTCCTAATACTAAACCCTAACCATATTCCTAACCCTAAACAGTAACCCTAAACTTAACCCTATCCCTAACCTCAACCCTAACTGTAAACCTCACCCTAACCCTTAATGCTAACCTCTAGCCCCTAAACCTAAATCCTAACACTAAACTGCTAAATCTAACCCCCTAACCCTGAAACCTAACCCTAATCCTAAAATTAATGCTAACTCTAACCCCGAATCCCTAACTCTGACCCTAACCCCCTAACCCTATTTCTAACTCCTGACCATAACCCTAAACTTTAATCCCTAACCCTAACTGTAACCATACGAGTAATTGTAACCCTACCCTAACCTCAGCCAGCCCTAAATTTAACCCTAATCCTAACCCCCTAACCATATAACTAAACCTATTCCTTAACCCTAACCCTAATCCCCAATCCCTTACCCTAACTCTAAACATATCCCTAACCCTACACCCAACCATGACTCCAACAACCTAACCCTAACCCCATCCCTAATCTAAACCTTAACCCTATCTGATGGCTTCGGCCAGTGCCCACAAAGGGCCCTGCTTCCTTCCAGAGAGTCCCAAAGCTTTACTCAGGCTTTCCTTTGGCCTGCACGGGGCCCTGCTTCCCTCCAGAGTGACACAAAGCTTTAGCCAAGCTTTGAGGAAGCATGCAAGGGGCCCTGCTGCCTTCCAGAGCTCGCCAGGGCTTTCACCAGGCCTTGCTGATGCCCAGGCAGGTCTCTGCTGCCTTCCAGAGTGTCTGACGGCTTTCCCTGGGCTTTGCTGGTGCCCACAAGTGTCTGCCAGGGAAAGGGGAGGGCCACAACAGCTTTCAGTCCTGGCCACTTCTGTGTGACAGCCATGCCTGGTGGGTGTATGTTTTGGAGCCGGGCTCTGGCTAGAGTGAGGGTGTAGGTGAGTAGGAGTCTTCCTGGACTCACACTGAAGCCAACAGGAATCTTTCTGACTATTTAAAGGGCGCTGGATGGGATCCTACAGAAAATTGGCATGATTTTAAGTTGACAGTTCTATTTTGACTAGCGCCTGTCACAGCCCTGCAGATACTTGCACACTGGTTGCTGTTGGAATTCACCAGATGCTGCTCTTAAATGTCAGTCTTGGGATAACTCTGCTCTTGCTCACCTTCAGAACACCCTCCAGTCCTTCTGAAGCCTTTCTGAGATTCACACACCTCATTTCTCAAATCACCAATAGTTGTGTTGTGTTCTTCTGTGAATTAATGAGCTACAGTAGATGAAAATCATCAGTCCCATCTGTCTCTCTCTGTGTAATGAGTTCTTTGCATCCTCCTTACCTTCCCCCAAGTGAATTATTCATTCTTCCACACTGGTGACAAATTTGCTTCTTCCAAAAGGATTCTTTCCTTTTTAGATAATCCTTTTAATGCTTTCCTGTTACTAATACACTCTCACCTTGTGCCATTGTCTTGCCAGCCTTTCCTCTTTGTTAACAATTCCATGCATAAATGTAGATTGTGCCACTTGTCAGTCACAGAGAGAATGTTTCCAAACAAGTACTAAACTAGGATATGAGAGCCCTTCTTTTCAGCTCTGAAATCAGCTCCAGAGAAGACATGCTTTCCACCTTCCTCCTGTCAATGTCAGTTGAACATGCAGGTTCACATGGTAAAGGTCTCTTCCATCCAGACATTGAGGAATCTCTTGCCAACAGTTATCCTGGAACCTCCCCATCAAGCTTTGTTGCAGGCAGAGCTTACAGAAAAAACACAAAACCCAAAACCCAAACACATTTACATGACTAAATGAGAACTGCAGGTCATAACGCCATGGCTGACATCCCACTTCAACTAATTCCCTAAATCACAGTCTAATCCTACAGCATCTATACTTGGTTTCCTCATCATCAAGCACAATTCCTGGTGGGTTTCCGTCTCCCAAAGTTCCTTGGCATTAGGTGACATGTTATCACTGACCTTAACACATTTATCTGGAATTCTTGCTCAAACTGGTGTTTTCTTCAAAGACCAGTGTTTTTGTGTCATTACATGGGAATCCCAGCTTCCATTGTGAAAGACAGGAATCTTAGCTTTAAAAGATGTGATTATAAAACAGGACTGACAACATCTCAAGGAAGCAAGCTCAACCCCATCTACAAACATGGTAATTTTTAAGTCTTCCTACGTTAGGGATCCCAGTAAGTAATTTTTAAGTGGGTTGGCAAGGCTGAAGACTGTCTCAATTGTAGCTTCTTTTGGAAAAGCCTAGAATACAGATACACTTCCCTACTCCCAATTCCAGTCATCTCTACTGCTTCTGGAGGACAAGGGAAAAGAAGGAGCTATCTAAAAGTCTTTTCCACTGGAGATCAAAAAATGCTAATACTTTCATACGGAAAGTAGAAATTTAGTACAGATTGCGACCTCAGAGCAGGACACGGGCACATCCTGCGTGTCTAACACTGGCTTCCTCATGATGAGGCCCATCCCTTCAATATAGACAATGGAATGTTGTTATTCTAGGGATAATCTCCCTGAACCGCCTTGGTGGTCAGCTCCTACTAGGGCTACTTTCCAGTAGAGTGGACACAGCAGTTGTGAAACAGTCTGCAGGGAAGTGTCTGTCACAGCAAGTCTTTGGAACAGAGAAGCATCACGTGGCAGGTGTGAGATATGTATGGCTGAACCTGCAAGAGAGAAACCTCTCCCAAGAACAAGCACTCTGCCGAAGCCATAATCAGGACCATTTCCAGGAGCTTGGGGTCACATGATTTAAAATGAAATGGGAGCTCCAGCCATCCATATTCCCAGAGGCCTGCTCCTTCTTTCACTACCAGCAGGCGAGTTACAGAACTGAAATCCACTGAGTCACCTACAGGTTTGCAGTCAGTCCTCCTTTCAAGAGACTCCACTGGCAAATGCCAGGATATACCTGAAGAGTTACAGAAATAACTACATTCAGCAGGGAGATCAAAAAAATGAGGCCAAGGGTGGCCAGTGGGTTTATTATGTCTCAGGAAAATAAAGCAACCCCCTCCCCTTTATTTTCTTGCTAGTAAATTGAGCATCACAACCAAAGCCATGAATCATTTATCTGCAAATACCGGCAGTGTCTGAGAATGCTGTGGGACTCCTCACTTGCTGTGTGCTGGCACTGGCACATACAAACATGTCTTGCAAATCCTGACATCGAAAAGCTTCCTGGCACCAGTGGGTACACCAATCTGCTGCAGAGTAGGATGCAGCAAACAACATTTTCTGCTGCGTGGGAAGGAACAACTTCTAATTTCAAGTCTGTAGCTTGTGTTGGCTGGCAGGAACGAGCACCGAGTTACAGTGGAAGTGTAATGTAACTCCATTAGACCAGAGACAGAGCCTACGTGACTCCTCTCTGAGTAGACGTGTACTTCACAGAAAATTGTTGCCAGTGGAAGTAGCCTGAAGGATTGACTTCAGGAAGTATTGACTGTAGCCAGCCTATTAATTGTCACTCTGGGGTTCAGGGCATGAAAAAAGAAGGAAAGTTATGTTTTGGCCAAGAACAGTACTGAAGTTCCAATTAATTCTTCTGTAGTTTTCATTTTATTTTGTGCACAAGGGGCACAGGAGCAAAATGCATCTGCAAGTTATTACGTGCTGTAAACAATGTAAAATTGTCAGGGGAAACTCTCAAACATTAATATTTTTCCTCTCAAATGGTTTAAAGAGCTGAAGAGTTTTGGGGAACGGATGATCTGTGGTGTCTGTATCCTCTCACCTCTGTTTTCAACAGCGCAGCACGCCCAGGTCTGCACAGCACACAGCTATGTCATCCTCAGGCCAATAAGAGGGCTCGGTTGCACAGGTTGCCCTGTCCAACATTTACACTGGTTTTGTCCCATTTTCTTTTAAAGATGGTTCTTAGGAAAATGTCATCTCTCCTCCATTAATGCTTTCCTGTTCCTTCTCAACAATTAACTGCGCAACAGTGGATCAATTTGACCTTCCTTCCTGGGAAGTCATTTGACCTGTATGTCAAAGTTTGTTTTACATAAAGCACTTTCAGTCACACAACCATTTGTAGCCCCCTGGCGCTTCTGTTGCTAATAAAGGTTTATATTTGGCATGGACAGACAGCATTGAGCTGTTTTCTGTTACGAGTGTAGACAATCCTGTTTTCCTGTTAGGCCTCAAGAAGGAATTACAATATACATTGCAATAACCTGTAAGACCCAGCTACTGAGTTAGCTCAGCCTGGCCCAGCTCTCAAATAAAATGCTTCAGGCTCCCCTGGGGTCCCAGCAGTGGACTGTCGTGGTTTGAGCCCAGAGGGCAACTGAGCACCACGCAGCCATTCACTCCCCCCTTCCCCCATAGCACTGGGAAGGCGAAAAAGAAGCGAAAGGCTCAGGAATCCAGATAAGGACAGAGAGGGGTAGCTCAGCCATTAACTGTCACAAGCAAAAGACAGACTCTAGGGGGAAGAAAAAAGATCACTTTAATTCAAAACACTGACAGAATGAGACAGTGAGAAGCATTACCACATCTTAAAAAAAACTTAACCCCACCCCTCCCTTCTTCCCAGGCTCAGGTTTGTTCCTGATATTTCTACCTCCTCCCCCAAGCAGGGCGGGGGCAAGGGGTGGGGTTGGCTGTCAGTCCAAAGCACTCTGCTGCATGCTGCCCCTCCTCCATGGGGTTCCCCTCTCACAGGAGACCTCCACAAACTCTGTCATGAATCCTTCCCGCAGGATGAAGCCATTCCCATGCTACTCTGGTGTGGGTCACCCCCACATCACAGAATCATCTAGGTTGAAAAAGACCTTTAAGACCACCTAGTCCAACCACTGACCTAACATTGACAGTTCTCAACTACACCATATCCCTCAGCCTGTGTCAACCCAAAGCTAAACAGCGGGCTCTTCTTCTTGCCAGAGTCCTGGCTTTCTCCAGACACAGCCCCCTGCTCCAGCGTGGTGTCCTCCACAGGCCGCAGGGTGACCCTGCTCCACTGGTGACCTCCACGGGCACAGGGGCACAGCCTGACCTCTCACCACAGGCTGCAGGGGGGGTCTCTGCTCTGGGACACTTCCCCACCACCACCTTTCTTCCACTGACCTCAGTGTGCAGTCAATGTCCTTCTCATAGACCCTCCCAAGTCTCAACCCCCTCTCAAGTTCCCTTTCTTAAATATGTTATCAGAGGCACAGCCACCATCATTAACTGGCTCAGCCTTGGCCAGAGGCAGGTCCAACCTGGAGCCAGGGGAGCTTTCAAGAAGCTTCTCACAGGGGCCACTGCTGTAGCCCCCTCCCCCGCTCCCAAAACCCCCTCCACACACACATAAACCCAGCACATTTACCAAGAGAACTATTCTATGGAGAACATCTGCCCCATCAAAGCCAGACAACGCTGAGTGCGGCCATGGCAGGCACAAGCTGTGGTAGGACTCTGTCTGTTTTTGTCAAAGCACACGCAGCAGGAGAGCCCCTCCTGTGCGCAGCTGTACATATGCCCGGTTGTGCCAGCCATGACTGAAAACTCGGGCATTACTATCTGTTGCTCATTACTATTTTTGTCCATGGTGGGGGAGAAGCCACAGAATTGGGGCGGGGTGGGGGTGTGTGTGCAGTGGGGAGGAGGACAAGAAAATACGCAGCCTTAAGCAGAGGAAGAGCAGTCTTTGTTCAGGATGGAAGAACAGGATATGCAAGACACAGGCCTCTTCATGGACATTGCTACAATGTCGTTTCTACTGTACACTTCTGGAAAGTGCTCTGCAGAGTCCTGCTCCACTATGGTCCCTCTTCCTGCTAGTTCCACTAATTTTGAAGTGCAAGATTAAAATCAGGTAGCGACAGGGCTAGGCGGAAAGTATCCCAGAATACAGATTAAACAAACTGTTCACCCCACCCGTAGGGACATCTCCATCTCCCCAGTTCAGCCAGTCTCCAAGGGGAGGAGACAAGAGTAGCAACTGCTACTACTTCACCTGAAAGGAGAGATGGGAGAATCCTTACTTGTTCTGGTGATCGGAAAGAGTGGCTTTACGTTTTGGAAAACAAAAACCTGGAAGTAGCACAAATCGATATACTATGATCTAGTTAATAGCCCCAACAAGACTCATCCTCATTAGGAAAGGACTGTGAGACTGATGAGAACCCAAGGGTTCATACCAACTAATTTCCCAGAAGCAATGGTGACTGCCCACTGGGATGGGTGTCTGTACATCTCAGCACCATGAGAGCAGACCATTTCCTGAGGTTACAGTCCAGAGCCCACAAGCTTCATGACAACTCCTTGCTTTACCCCATCAGCAGACGGTCCCTACACGATCAGCTCTCCACAGCTAACAAACTTAAGCCCTGCTGCTCTAAGCACCCCTGTCCCTAAAGCACTATTAGGAGTTGAGAGCTCCTGCCTGAAGGGTCCAGTTGTGCACAAGCACTTAGTATGACAGAGGCACCTTTAAAAATGCTTCTTAGTGAGGTCATTAAAATGGAGAGAAACTTCTATTGTAGTTGCAGAGTAAGAATATAAAGTGGTCTGAGAAGCAAGAAGAGAGCAGGCCATAATATTTCACTCCTCTATGCTTCAACTTTCACAGCTGTTCAACACAGCGGGCAGAAGCTGTCCTCTACGAAGCTTATATAAATCTACAGATGGAAACTGCAAAGAAGGGGTTATGTAAAGATCTGCCCTTCTACCACACAGGGCTCCTTCAACAACAATCCTTTTGACCCGAGGGCAAGACACTCCTTTCCTCTATACAAAGTTCTTTCTCCCAGTTAGGGCTGCCCTTGTATGTTCTGCAGAGTACAGCACGGCAGGTTTTCGACAGCTTGCAGGATCTTTAAACACCACCATTTGCTAAAGAGAGCTCACATTTGCTCAGACTCAGATGCAAACCCTCTCAGACTGCCATAAGGATGCAGGGACAGCTCCATCCATCGTGCATGTTCAATAAAACATCACACAAGTGAAAGATAATAGATGTAAAACAGCAGGTGAGCCTGCTGCTCCTATCCTAATAAGCAGAGTTAGGCAAGGGGCAAGTGGAGATGGGGAAAAGCATAACACCAGCAGGAAAGATTCCTGCCTGTGCCTTCGTGTAGCATCAGCCTGGGTGAGCACCAGCCTTTTCCAGACTCTGTATACCAGCAAGTGGAACATCACCTCCAGCCCACCTCTTTCAGCTGTGCAGGACTCAAAATGGCATGGCATTCTCCACAAGAGGGGAGTGTGGCATTTCCACTGATTATTATTGAATAGCCAAACCTTCACAGCACCACAGATCCATGGTTAAGACAGATTCCTCTTATTGCCCAGCTCATACTTGCTTTGCTAAGTCAGTGCAATTTCTGGGATCACCCCGCTCAAGAAAATGGAGACAAGCAATGCCTCTTGTGTACAGCTGGGGTTCACTGCAGCTGTTAACTCTCAACACATTATTAGTGCAAGTTGTCATTCTTATGCATGTCTCCAGCTCCTTAGAACAGGAGGTGGTTTGTGAAAAATTGCTTAGTAGAAGAGCAGAGCAAAGGCAAACAATGCCTGGGTCTACTTTAAAAACACACCTAAATAGGAGAGAAGGCCCTTGCCTGCTCCCTAACTCAACTCCTCCATCTGCAGTTCCTGCACTGATCCTACTCAGAAATAATCGCTAAAGCAGCTGTAAGAATAGGACAAAACAGAGACTGAGCTATCCTCTCCATCTATGGCCTCAGTGCTCCTTCACAGTCACCCATAAAACACTTTAGCTAGCAGAGAATATGGAAACTGGCAATGGAAGGCCAAGGAGCAGGACCCTGGACTCTTGCTGTTCTGATAGCTTCCTCAGCTAGAAGCAAATCAACCCACCACTTTCACCCAATCTACAGCCAAGCACATCCCTCCACAGAACCCAGCCTGTACAGCCTTTGCTGTCTGGAAGCTTTGACAGAGATGTCAAAAGAACAGTTTCATCTTCATTAGATGCCCAATTCCAGATGGAGAAGACTGTATGCTGGTCTTAGAGATATCAACCTCCATGTGACTTGTTATAAGGGATCCTGGACTACAGTGTAGTGAGCAGAGTCTGTTCCAGCAGAGTCCTGACACTGCCAGGGGCTGCTCTGCTCTTCTTTCTCTGGAAAATACAGTGTTTTGTGAATCAAATCTCTGACAGCAGAAACGTCACTTCTTTCTACAGAAAGAGAAAGACAATTGTTAGGGATTCTCAACAGGCAGTATGAAAGTCCCTCTTCCTCAAGAAGTACCTGGACCTCTAGTTCCCTGCACATCACCTGCCAGCAGCCCTTTCTCTCTTTTCCTGTACATCTTTCACCCCTCCTGCACTCACCCACACCCAGCTGCTGCAGGAGACTTCCAAACTCTGGGTCACAATCTAGGATTTTCAACAGATTGGTGGACTCCATTCTCTCCAGCTGCACATCCCAGTAGATGTAGATCTTCTGATTGAAGCTGACATAAACCAGGCAGGGGCTGTTGCTTCCTCCTTTGCATGCATAGAGGCCTGCAGAAAGCAAAAGTGTGGAGATCCGACTACTTCCAAAAGGACAGAGATAGCAAGCGGCTAACTTCTCATGATGAGGTACCAGAGCTGTTATCAGAAAGCAAGTATGTGGGGTGAGGGGCACAGACATGGACCTGGGTTTATGAAATGCCTTTGAGATAAACCAAGAAAGTGTCTCTAAACTGTTATTAATGCATGGAGCTCAGGGATTTTCGAGCTGCTTCTTGCAGGTCCGAGAAAGGGGACCGAGCAAAGCCAAGGCTCAGGCTGGTTCTGTGGGGCTCCTTATCTCCACTTGAGAACAACTTAGAAGTCAGCAAATCAAAAAAGCACTGTAGCAATCCCAAAAAGGACAGTAAAAAACCCCAAAATCCTTACAGGGAAAAACACATCACCTCCTCTTACCCCTACTTTTCCCACAGGGAAGTCTAGCTGGACCGTCTGCAGTACACCCAGAGGGAAATTATTTCTCACTATAGACAGACAAAGGATTCCAGATGTCCCAGAGGGGAGTAGTAGCTTTGATGGAGAAATGCTGTGAGGGCTGGGTTTGCAGTCAGGCTCCCCACCTGCACAGAATGCACTGACATTCTCATCTGCTTGAAATCTGGCAACAGTCCGATTGTGGTCGATGATGTACGTCTGACCATCCCACGCACAGGCAATCACCTCCTCGTGCCCATTGCCCTGCAGGAACCACAAGATCTTGCATTAGCATGGACATCAACTATTTCCAGAGGCAGTCAAGAATCCTTCCTGCTTTAGAGACAGAATGCTAATGTTTGAACAAGATGTCACTTTTGGACATCTTGTCCAGACATTTTGCATTTCTCCCTGTCTTTCTGCACTTGGAGAGCATCTCTCTCTTCTCTATCACAATCCTTAAGTATCATCAGAGCTTGTAGACAATCAGGGTACCAGCCGTGTGCAAAACCATTCAACTTTGCAGTAAGATAAAAGAGCAGCTGGGGGACGAAAAAGTTCATAGCAGGATGCTGGACTTGCTAGGTCAAAGATGCTGACACAGCTCAAGCTCTTGCAGGTGGACAGGCCGAGTGCAGAATGCACTGGCACAGACAGAACACTCTGTGTATCCTCCTGATATAATCCCAGTCTTTTTCAGCTGAGTCGTACTCCTTCTGCCCTTCTTAAATTCATATACACAACGCCATGCTGAGATTTTGTCTTCATCCCTCCCAGCCCTATTCACAGACACTCACAGTAACATCCAGCTTTTCCAAAGCAAACAGCTGGTGATCAACCTGCACAGACCAGAGCAGCTTGTCTGCTCCCTCCATGAGTTTCAATGTCCCTGAAAAAAAAAAAAAAAAAAAAAAAGATTGTCTTGAAAGTATTAAAAGGAAGCCAGACATTTGCTAACACTGGGCCCTGCACACTTCTTCAACACTTAGGCTTTACAGGCAGAAGGTTGGGCCCATGGTACAGGCTGTGGTTGATAACAGATACCAGAGTCTCAGTTCTGGGAAGGACAGAGTCCATTATCTTGTCATCAGTAACTGGAAACAGAGGGAAAAATGGCAGCAGCCCTGCTAATTGGATTGTGCTCTAAGAGAAGAAGAAAGCTGCCTGAAACAGGCTCCCAAATTACAGTACATCAACAGATCTCACATGAGACAGCAAGTGAACTAGAAGCTTCTCACCATGTCCCACAGATCATGTGATCTCAGGACAGCATGTTGACAGGTATCAGCTGAGAGCTGGCTGGCTAATAGCACGGCTGCTAAAACCATACCGGGCACTTACCTCACACACCATTTTTTTATCATCCAGAGATACTGTGATAGTATTTGGGGGGTGGTGGGGTGGTGTGTGTGTGTGGCATTCAGAGAGCAGAACATAAACATGAATCTAACTTCACAGTGCCCTCCAGACTCAACAAGGGTCACAAGTGAGCCACAGTGAGGCAGGAAACCTTGCCAGATGCAGAAGCTTCAGAGTTCATGCCTGGAGAATAACCAGAAATTCCCTAGCAGAACACTATTGGGCAGGTGGACATTTAGCCCAAAGAGGTCAGGCTGCCTATCTGGGAAGGGAGAAGCACAGCATCCTGTCTCCACACTGTTAAATTCTGGACAGAAACACTGTGTTCAGCTCATTAGATTGCAGCCTGTCCTAATCACTTAGCCAGGGGCACGGCAGGAGAACCTTACTCCAGGCCTGTGTGAGGCCAAGCTCCTCTCTACCAATACTCAAGGTCCAGCATCCATTTCCTTTACCGCTTTTGGAGACAACCGAAGTCCCTTTAAGTACAAGGACATCTCTCTGCTGTGATTTAGAGGCTCCTGTGTAAATGAATGGCACTGCTGAGTTGGTATCTCACACAGTTGTTTGACCACGGGGTAAGCAAGCAGCTTAGGAGTCAGCAGATGGAAGTTCTAGTTTCACTCTCCATCTCAAGCTTTCGGGTCAATGACCCAGCCTCTTCAGTTTCCCAGCTGCTCACTGCTTTAATACTTCCACCCCCATAGGCCATGGAACCATACAAGTAATTATTGTTTGTAAAATGCTTTGAAATCAACAGATTTCAACAATGAAATCCACAGATAGACTCTACCAGGGGAGAGAGAAAGCCAGATATTAGTAACAGATAGAAAACACAACAGGTTTCCTGGAGAGAGCAAGCCTGTGTGGTATCAGACAAAATTCAGTAAGGAATGGAAGGAAAGGCTCAGCTTTAGTGTGTTTTATCATATCCTCAGATACAGGTGTTATCACAAACCTGGCTTAGGGGGACTTGCTCACAGTGACAACTTTTACTTTGGCTCCTGTCTATCAGATATAATACGTCAGCAGAAGGAGCCAAATTCTCTTGCCTGACCCAGGGAAGCCCAGCTCCTACTTCTTTCAAAACCAAAAGCACTGAGCCCCTGATCCCTTGCTTTGGATTAGTGACAGACCTTGGCTACCCTACAGGCCCTTCTTCCAGGACAGTGGTAGGACTTACCATCCAGAGTACAGAGAGCGAAGAGACCTGAGCCACTGTTCTCACTGGAGCAGCCTGTAAGTGCAGAAGAGAATGACAGTTGATGCCAGTTTCGAAGCACTGTCCCCTCCTTCTCCTGAAGAAAAAGATCAAAACCAAGCTGATCTATCCTGCCTCCCTTTTTTGCCCAGCCTTGATACTTTGCTTAGCAGGTACCTGCAGATTCCTGTAACCACTCGTACTTCACGCTGGCTTTTATTTGTAAGGCACTGGCATCTCAAAACCCAGACTTTTGGTTTGCAGTGCTGCAGGCATGTCTGTCTCTGCTGCCTGCTCCTAGAAGTCTGTCTGTACCACACATGCACCTGCAGGCCCATGGCAGTTACGATATTAGAGGACGGCATCACATCCTCTCCAGGTTCCAGAAACACATGAGCACAGGAAGACCATCACAAGGGACAAACTGAAGAACAGCTGAAACTAAACAAGACTATTACAACTGTACCCTCACTGTTTCTTTCAAGGACAGAAACATGGCCTTTGGCTGTCCTGGGAAGGTGAAGGGTTAAAAAAGCAAGATCCTGCCAGCAGGACAAAGCATTGGTCACATTAGCACAAAAGCACCTCCAAGGAAACTCCTGAGTGAGTCTGTGGAGATCATGCTACTGACTCTATTAATAGTTTTCACTACAGCAAAACTGCACAGAAGCTGTGATCCTCTCCCAGCAAACACTGGTCAGATGCTACAGAGCCTTTCCTTTATGAGCAAGTTAGACACGTGCCTTCATGCTGATCTACACACTCCGCCCTGGCTTGCCTGGGCTATGCTTATACAGCTGTGAACTTCCTGAAAGCAGTATCCTCTCCAAAGCCTGTGTATCAGTTACATGCAGGATAGCAGTGACAAATGTGACTAATTCGATCTGAAGAGGAGACCCCCTGCCGACCACCAGGCTGCTTCAACCCCTCAGTACACTCGCTACCTAGCTACCAGTCAGAAAAGACATGCAAGGTCACGTTTTGAAAGTGCTATGACGCTTAGCAGGGGCGGACTAGAGCTGTATTCAACTCCAGCTGCATTTAATCCTTTCAGTGACAATGTAGGAGACACTGGCTCCCTGAGGTCTGCAGGAACCCAGGCAGTCTGGGACAAGCCTGTGGAGCTGGAAGCAAATAGGCAGTTTCCCCAGAATGATCTAAGACTGCAAGCCTACCTCTGCTGCCTACAGACAGCTCCAAGCCACAACACCCTGCACTCTCCCAGGACACAGAATACTCTATTCCCACAGACCAGCTTCAAGCAAACAGTCAGCTGGTTGAGTGTTCTGCTTCTCCTAGCTGACATCCACCCAGACAGGCTCCTATCCAAAAGATCTGCTGTCTCCCCCTCACAAACTGCTTGGCGCGGCACTCTTCAGATGCTTTATTACTGATGGTCCAGCATCTGTAGGCTTTTCACAACCTTCTCTTCATCCCTTATTCTGCATGCCTTCATTTTTCACAGATGCTTCTCATTAGATGCAAGGCTTTGTATGCAGTGAAATAATTGATTTCACGCTCCGTTGACCACGTTGCTCATAGCAGCATTCGAGATGCTGAAAACATGACAAGCTTAAGAACTGGGGAGAAAGGGTACTCTGGGGTAGGGGGAGAGGTTTCAGTGGATTGCTCTTCTCCCCCAGCTTTAATTACACTGGACAGCCTGAATCATTCTCAGACAGCACTGCAGGGGGTAATACTTGGACAGAGCAAACGCAGCTGGATTCCAGCCAGCTGCAGACAAGAGAAAGTGATCTGCATTGGGAATTTTCTGCCTTCTTGTGTTACACCCACACGCTCCCAGGGGGAGTGAAAGCTGCTTATTCTCCATAGGTACTAAAACAGGGCTCAGCAGGTGCACGAGGCACAGGTCAGAGCACAAAGCAGTTACACAAGGGAAGCAGTGGCAGTGTGTAAGGAAAGTCTGGACACAACAGCAGCGTGCCAGGGCTGAGAGGAGCCAGCAGCTGTGGAGAGTTTAGATACAACAGCTGAACAGAATACACTGGAAGGAGACAGAGGACAGTGATATAATGAAATATGAAAGCAGCTCTAGAGTGGTTGGGACTTCACAGGTGAAGGAAGAGCAGGATATAGTTGCCAGGTGTTAGGAAAAGCACAAGAGCAAGAACAAAGATGAGGCTGAAGAAAGGCAGAGATGCATCTAGGGAATAAGAAAAGGGCATAAACTGCAGCCATGCAAAAGCAAAGATCAAGGACATCTGGAGGAGCAAGCCCTGGCAGCCATGCAGAGTGACTGAATGCACATCAGTGGAGGCTGCAGAGAAACCGCTGTGCTAGGTGAAGAGTAAGAGCTACCTAGGGAAGGACAAAGGCTATAAAAAGTACAAATGCAAATATCCAGCTGTCTTTGGGAGCTGGCTAACGGAAGCTGAGTTCCTCCTGCTCTTGCAGCTGCCTTCCACTGTTACTTTCCAACCACGGGAAATCTGATTTCATGCTGGACTGATCTACTGAAAAACTATCGGGGCAAATGTTGGGCCAGAGACCCCCAAGCTCCTAATCTCTCACCTCGGCCAATGCTACCAATTAGATGAGTGGAAACGTTCTTGTTGTGAATCCGTCCAGATGTTTGGTGTAGAATAACATCTCGAATAGGAGCCTCGCTAGGGAAAAGAGACACAGACATCAGGGAAAGGTTAGGGAACCATGCCTGGGACTCTGGCAGAATAATCTCAAAAGTAGTGTAGTCCAAAGCTCTACAAATCCAGAGGTTATCAGAGTTTGTGCATAGGTTAGCCCTCTAATGGTAAAGACTGAGGAAAAGAACACATGCCACCCCAGGTATGAAAGGAACTCGCTAATGTTTAAAAAAATTACAACAGAATGATTTAGTGCATCAGAAAACTGGAAAGAGCTCAAAGAAAAAAAAAGTAAAATATAAATTCCAATCAAGGTAAAAAAGACCATTTTTATCATTAGTGTCACATCAGCCTGGCTGCTTTTCACTCAGGAAGTGTCTGTCTGGGGTTAAACAGGCTGTCAGAGATGATGCCTGGGCCTGGCTTCTGGCTAGGAGGGTATTATTCCACTAGGACACCAAGGAGCCTTGCCTAGCTCCCCTCCTGCTGCAGTTTTTTGGGTCTGCCTTAAAGTCTCACAGACCACCAGAAGCATGTGAATTCCCCACAAGGGTCCCTCCAGCACCAAGGAAAATAACCTCACTGCTCATATCAACTGCTCTGGTCGTGATTTACAGCTCTGGCTGCCAGGGGTCTCATCACGAAAACCTTCAACTACTTCACGTGGAGGAAATGAGTGAACGAACCCAAAGCGTCACCCTGGGCCTCAGACTAACTGGGCTTGGCCCAGCCTTTCAGCTGTTACCCTTCCCACCACTAGATAGGTCACCAGATTGCCTGCTACTCTTTCTCTGGAAATCTAGGTCACTCATTTCCCAGTATTGCCCCTGTCCATGGGCTGGTTTTGCCACTCTTCTTGTGCAATCCAAGGAGAACACAATGAAATACAAAGAAAGTGGTAGGGTTCACCTTTGTGATAAAGGCATAAAGAGTGTTCATGGAAATGTGGGTGCAAGTGGGCTTAAGTCATGAACTCCCTGAAGTACCGCAGGTCACTGAGGCAAGGACAGGTGACAACAGTCCCCCACCCTCAGAAAGGTGATGTGGTGGTACCCCCTTGTGTGTGATGGGCATCTACAGCAGAATCTCCTCATCTACCCCAGGCAGCAATGCCCTTCACCTGCTTGGTGCAGAGCTGTTTCTTCCCTCTGTCGTGGCCTGCTGCTCAGAGTCCCAGGTGCACAGCAGAATGGCGTAACCACAGCCTGGCTGAGACACCATCATCTCCGGTGAGCCATCGGGGCCTGGGTTCACTGAGAGGCTGTCCACCTGTACCGGCAAAGGAAAAACATGGATAGAGTCAAACTGAGAACTTTAAACACCTCAGAAGGATTCACTGTGCTCCTTGTACCTAAACTTGAATATAGCAGCTCTTCTGATAGAGCTGAGCAGAGGCTGAACAAATTCAGCTAGAAGCAAAATGTCCAAGTTACAGTAAAAGGTTCTTTTTCCTTACCAAAAGCCGCTTAAGAACAACGCTAGTATTTTCCACTAACGCTCTCTAGTTGGATGAGAGCAACCGACTGTTTCCCAGACCAACCCACCAGCTGCTCTGTAGTTGCTCGGACAACGACCAAGCAAATCTCCTTTCAAGCCATCAACATAACTGCTTTGTTGATAGGCCTGAGATTTTGTGCTTTTTCCCTTGGGACAGCCACCTCTTGAAGACTGTATGACAAGTTCTGCTCTGAACATCCTGTTTCCTTACCTGACCTTCTAGCAGCCATTTCTTCAGTAGCAGCAGCTGCCCAGAGACGTGGTCTGAATTCTCTGACAAATCCTCCCAGCGGAAGGCACGTACCACCCTGTCAGTGTAACCCACCACCAATTCACACTTCCCATCTCCATCTGCAGCAAATACAAAGAGAGAGATGGGCTCTCGCAGGCTTTCATAGCCTTAAGAGTCCCAATATTCAGAAGTCACTGTGCTGGTATCCATCAGGTAGCATCCCTGAGGATCCCAATCCTGTAACGAGAACTTGTACTTCAGGAAAATTCCTGAAGTTCTTACTTCTCTCCTCCACGTGTTTTGTGGCTGTGGTTTGTTAGAGTACCTGTTTCAGCATGACAATAATTTCCTTCTGAGTCCCGCACACTTTCCCTTTCTCTCAACACCACCACCTCATACCCACAAACTCCCTTACCAGCTTCCCAGCTCACCAATGTCACTGATCAGCATGACCTTGGTGTTGGCAGGAATGTGCTGCTTGAACACTGGCTTCTGCTCTTCTGCTGCTGCCAACTCATGGTGACCTGAAGGATCTGGATGTTTTGAAGTTGAAGATGTCAGGTCAAAAAGATGAAACCAGCCTTCTGCACTCACCGCCACCACAAGATTCTAGGAGGGAAGAGAAAAACCTTTTGATTTTTCCTCTTTTAGAAACTACAGAAGCTGTCCCACAGCAGGGCAAGGGAAGATATGAGGGTAGATTCGTCAAGATCAGTGACTGCTACAGAGGGAACAGGAAAAAGGGTTCTGGCCAGCATATAAACTACTCAGGTACTGCAGGGCCCAAACTTCTTTTTCATCCTTGTCAGACTAGGCTATCAAGCTGATGTGTGCATGCAATCCTCAATGCGTGGCATTTGCAACTCTCACTTCAGCTCTGCTCCCCACTAGAGCACACATTGCTACAGTATTTTAGGCAGGGTGCCTAATCTGGGACTTTTGGACTGAATGGTCCTGGCTTAAGCCCCAGAAATAGAAATCCAGCAAAAGGAGTCATTAGACCCAGTGGAATCTGTTTGGGAGTCTAGACTATTCTGTGGCTCAGCCTTGTTTAGATGACCTTAAATGCACATAGCCAAGTGGCAGAAGGGCCATGGCCCACAGCAGAGACCAGCACAGAGCAGGGCAAAAGCCGCTGAGGAAAAGGAGCAATGCTCAGAGCACCAAAGCCTTGTGATGCTCACACAGGGAGACATGGAAATCAGCAGTGTTTCTGAAGATAGGATGGATTTCCTTGCTCACTAAAACCTGCATATGGCTCACAGAAAGAAAGAGGTTATATGTAAACAGAAGAACAGTTTTAAAACAGTAGCACTAAAACTCTATGAGCAAGGGCACATCCTGAAGAGAAAACACCTGCAACATGTTCTCCTCCACACTCAGGGTATGACATGGCCCTAATCTCCCAAGCACCTCCCCTGTGCCCTACAGACTGAGCTGAAGAGAGTTTGGCTGTTCTCACCTTTCCTTTATTGCACACATCTCCCACGCCAACACATGTGAGCTGCAAGAGAAAGAAGGCCATACATGAGAGAAGGCAGCCCAAACCAGCACTTTGGGATAAGCCTCTGCCCTCCCCACTCCTCCCCCATAAATCATCTCTTGAACTCTAAACAGCCTTTTCAAGGACAAAGCGAGCAGAGTCAGGGACAGAAACACACCTGCCACACAACTGCCCAGAGGCAAAGCCCACAGGACACAGGACCAGGGTCAAGGCAGGACAGAAGCTCAGTTCCTGTGTTTGTTTAGTGCTTCGCTCACCACTTCCAGGAGCCCACGAGGCTGGCTGTGGGCAAAAGCAGGGTCTTGCATAACTACATGAAAGGCACTAGAACAAGTTCTGTTTGCCATTCCCCTCTGGCCTACATATTCCTAGGCAGCGGTCAAGGATAGCTAGCTGCACATATACCAAAAGGCCCAATCATTTAAAAATTTTGTCAAGAACTGACCATTCCTTGGCAAGATCGCACAGCCCAGGGTTTGCTGTCATCATTCTTGTAAACATAGAGCTTCCCGTTGGTGTCTCCCACCACTAGCTCATTCAGCTGTACAAGAGAATTGGGTTAGTAAGAAGAAATTCACAATTATAATAACAGTATTCCTTCCCCACAGCAGTAACAGAATTTAAATTGCAAAATTGCTCAGTGGGAAGAAGCAGCAAGCAAAACAAGAGTTAAAAAGACAGCCTTGAATCCACAGAGAAGGTCTGTGGAAAAAATAAAAGCCCTAATTTTACTCTCACAGATAAAAGACCTGGAGAGTGGCTCCTTAGAGCAACATTCCATTATCCACTGCATCTCTAGCCATTGTTCCAGAGTTAAGTCACTGACTGTTTTAACATCCTGATCTGCTAATCATCATCACCATCACCTCATCTTCCATCCTTCAGCCTAGATTGACTTGATCTTTCTTGAACCACTGGAGGAGAACAATGGCAATGGGGAAAATGTAATTATCCAGGAAGAGGCTGCAAGAACACCTGCAACAGATTTACACTGGGCATTCAATCTCCCTGATGAAAGGGTAAAGGTCTTTCAGAATGGTGATTATTTCTTTAAAGATGACTGCTAAAAATCACCAACCACCCCTGCAGAAGAGCCTACTCCTAATATCCCATATTCTGCATCATGCCCCTGTGTAACTTAATTGTGTGTATTTTGTAACTCCCTGCACAATACAACTTCTTATGGGAAAATTTGTTTTATCATCCACTGCACTGTTAGTTATGACACTTTTCAGGATATTAGGATAGCACTGTAATAAAATTTGACTGTTGAGAGGAAGGGACAGTTTACACATATCTGATTAAGCTAACCTCTTGCTAGTTACGGACAAATCAGACCCATCAGAAACAACCATTTGTGGGGCTGACAGCAACATTCACAGAATCATTTTGATTGGAAAGGGCCTTGAAGATCATCCAGTCCAACCGTTAACCTGGCATTGACAGTTCCCAACTACACCAGATCCCTCAGCGCTACATTGATCTGACTCTTAAACACCTCCAGGGATGGGGACTCCACCACCTCCCTGGGCAGCCCATTCCAACGCCCAACAAACGCTTCTGTAAAGAAATACTTCCTGACATCTAGTCTAAACCTTCCCCGGCGCAACTCGAGGCCATTGCCTCTTGTCCTAATGATTTCTGATGTACATCCATCCATCATACAAGTCAAGAGATGCTGAAACTCGGCTCTACCCTGTTTGTGATGTACTGTGCCCCAGCAAAGCGTTTCCTCACAGCTCCACAGGAGACTGTCTCTCTCTGGGACCAAAAGTTAACCTCCCTGATAGCTACACGTCATCCAGGACCCGTACCGAGCATGGAAGCACTGACCAGCTGCAGCACAGAATGGCTGAACACTCAGTTTGCCTCTGCGGGCATATGATCCAAACCCTGCGCCCCTCATATTGCTCAAGGGCCCATCAAGCTCCGCGTCCATCCACGGGTGGGCGCCCCACCACCTCCTCGCCCCCCCAAACCGGGCCCAAGTCCTCCACCTGCGGAAGCACCACCACCTCCCGCGGCCTAGCTGCCACAGGCCCACCCGACCGCACGCCACCGGACCGTGTCATTGTCAGCATCTCCCAGGCAAATGGCGTGCGGGAAGAGGCTGCCGCCGAAGTCGAGCGCCACGCACTGCACGTAGCTAACGGACCGCATCCCGACACCGCCGCCCGCTGAGGCGGAGCTCCCGCCGCGGGATACCGGGCCGGCCGCCAGCCTGGGCCGACGGTGGCTCCGCAGGTACAAACGCCGCCGTGACGCGCGGGCAGAAGGCCGGGATCACGTGAGGGGAAAAAGATGACGTGAGGGGCGGGACTTCCGGAAGGGGACGGGGAGGGTTGAGGG